GAATACACCGTCCTTATGAATAGTTAATAATTAAAATCACCAACGCATCAATTACGTAGAAAAATTATTATTTACAGTTAAAATACAGAATTTAATCAAACACAGTGCATAGAATTATTATGGGTAACGTTAGTCCATAGACAGATGAGTAGCCAGAAACTCGTCAACAGAGTCAGTATCCCACTTGTGAATATCAAGAATATCTTCAACTTTGTTATCAGCATCCAATAATTTAATAATTGGATCCAAGTTTCTAACATATTTTATTTGCAAGTTCTTATATTTGCTAGGTCTATCACTTTTTATGAAAGCTGAAATTAATCAAATAAAGAGTAATAACACACGTACAGATGAGATAATAGTCCATAATGTAATATGTGTATTCCTTTTTACCTTGAATTTGTGGATATGCACCAAATTTACAAGTGCAGACTTCAAGAAGAGCATGCGGATAACGTTTTGATCCAGATGCATCGTAATCGTCATCTTTTAGACAACATTCTTTGCATTTGTCCCTGAAATGAATAAATAATATATAATCCATTTGTAGAGTATAAAATCAATACCTAGCAGCGTGCACTCATAATATATTTGTTACTTGCCATATTTCCGGTAAGCCACGTTTATTAAATTCTTCACATGTGGAACAGAGTAAATTGGCTTTATTAAAGCCTAAACTTTTACAATCGTCTGCTGAAAATTCGGCATTTACAATATTTACCTGGAAATTCAATATTAATTCCATGTATTGATTAAAATCATCAAGAAACGCGCGATACAAATATTTTATGTCTTTACTATACTCGTTTATGTCTGCAATACTTTACACGTACCATATGATTAATGAAAAAGATAAGAGGTTAAGGGATAACTTTGATACTTACCATTAAACCAAATGAAAGTAATTGTATCGCTGTTAAAATATCCATTGTGTTATCCAATATATCCCGTGTGCATCGAATATAATTTAAGTATTTCTTTCAAATCTGCAACATAGTCTGTAAATACAACACAATCGCATATACACTACAAATTGCTACAAATCACCTGTAAACAGAGAATATACGATACGATACCACGGACAAGGTATAAGAGTAGACTTGATATCCAATGAATTATTTTGTCACCCAAAAGTGGGGTTTCAGAAGCTGATATTTCAGAAATTTAAGCTTCTTAGCGAGAATAGAGTATTCTCTATACCTCATTTGTATTACGATACGTTTATGAAGTGGGAGCTCTAAGTTCATACAGCGCGCATATTCAAACGACGATAATGATAAGAAATATGATGACGATTCGGGGGGGGGGGGGGGGGGGGGGGGGGGGACCCAA